GGAATCTAGATGAATTTCATATCGATATAATATCGGAGATATGTTGGGTATATAACATTTTAGGCTAATTTCATGTCGAAAAAATATGGAAGATCGAGATGATGGATATATAAGAACACAAGCTATAGATTTTAGTGTTGCGTTTTAATAAAGTCGTCGGGTTTAAGTTTAAAGTGAACAATATCATTAGTGGAATGGATTAACATATGATATTAGAGCTATTACGAATGAAATCTTGAGCTACGGTAGGGCAAACCTTGATGAGGATGTTGAGCCCCTAAGAGGGAGGAGTGTGTAACACTTTAGGCGAATTATATCACTTTGATATAATATGGAAGAAATGTTGGATTTATAAGAAATAAGTCTTAGATCTCAAGTGACGCATTTTAAATTTGTATGGCCGACTAGAATCAAATTGAATAATATATAAATCTTACACTGCATGAATCAGAATTAATCGAGGTATCAAAACAGATATCAACATTGGATGGATTACTAAAGTGCTAAACGCTAACGTAACATAACAAATATTTATTAAAATATGTTAAAATTAATCATATCCCATAAATTCTGAGAACTCTTGGAACTCTTCTATCCAGAAAAGTTTTTAAAAAATTGTTCTATAACTTCTTAGGTACGTCATGAATGACTCAACATCAGTCAAGCTTGTGAATAATTCAAGAATCATAGAATTGCTTGTTAGATGTGTCAAATTAGCGAGTTAGATTAAATTTGGATAGATTAAAATAGATTGAGTTGATAAATGAACAAGTTTTTGACTCGATCATAATTCAACATGTCAATTTTTACAAAATTTTAACGACCAACCCAAACTTGAACAGGGTGGACGAATTATATTTTATGGGATAATTTTGTCACCTCTGTCGCTGGCTAATTAACTATAATAGATATATAATTAATTGTGATATTCAAAATTTAAAGTCTACTTTAATTTGAGGTCATATTACTAATTTACTCTGATAATATTTACTTAACAAATTAAAATTGTTTTTTTTCTTAGTTATGCAAAAAGGTTAATCAAAAGTAAAAAAAAAAGATATATCAATATGAAAAATCATGTAACAAGTTAGGACAATGATATCACTTTAGTTTATGCTGCAAAACATTGACTTCTCTTTAGTCCTTTTTTGGATCATAGCTAGCTAGATATTGTACAATTATCCTAAAATTCATCCCCACCAAAATAAAAAAATTATCACATGAAAAATTAATTTTGATTTAAAATTTTCCACCAATAATTTCACACCCTTTTTGTATCTTCTATATATAACATGTTTAATTTCACCACTCTATTTGTCATATTGCCTTCAGAAATTATAATGGCTACTTATTTCTTCTTCTTCATTTTTCTAATTATTTCTACAAGAACTTTAGCTTATGATGATTCTTGTTCTTTTAATTCCAAAAAAGGAAATTCAGACCTTTCTGTTATTCATATTTATGGAAAATGTTCACCTTTTAACTCACCAAAACCTTCTTCATCATGGATTAATACTGTAATCAACATGGCCTCTAAAGATCCACAAAGGCTCTCTTATTTATCAAGTTTAGTTGTGTCCAAAAAGCCCACTAATGTTCCCATTGCTTCAGGCCAACAACTCTTCAACATAGGTATAATGATGATACTCGCTCGGTTCATTTTTACTGGTCACTTTTAACATATCAAGAAAAAATAATTGTTTTTCATGTTTTATTCTTAGCGGTAATTACTTATTTGTCAAATTATTTTCTAATACCTAATACTAAACATCAGTTAATAGGGATAGTATAGTAAAATAGTCATGTTAATCGTTGTTTCCTTATCTCAAGGATAGTTTATAATTTGTTTGGTCAAACTTTCAGAATCTATTTATTTTAACGAAGTGTTTTTCAAAAAAAAAAAAAACGTTTGGGAAGTAGCCGTTTATGTTTAACTAATCGATTTGAGAATACTTTTGTAATATTATAGAAATAAAATGTGCTTGACCAGGAATTTAAAAGTGTTTCGGGGGATAATATTTTTTGCTTCCCAAAAGCTAATCATTTTTGTATTATTCACTACTTTAATAACTTGTTAATTCCAACATTCAGCATTGTATGTTTTATATTACTAAAGAATATTTTCATACATTATACACGTCTTTAGTTTCAGAACACACTACAAAAAATTGAAGTCATCTACGAACTTCATCTCTAATCTGTCTAAATTGCTCATAGCTAACATAAATTTTTGATAATATGTTGCTAAATAGGATTAACGATAAATTTTATTGTTTAGTAACAAAAAAAATTTCGTTAGTAATTTCTTTCTTTTAGTAGTGACAAAATTGAAAAGTCTCTATTACTCAAATTTCGTATTGAATCAAATTAAGACGCATAAATTGAGACATAGAGATGTCGGAGTATAAAATGTGAATTTTTCATTGTACATGCAATTCACATCATCTATTCTATACATTGTTGTAGGTAACTATGTGGTTCGGGTCAAGATGGGTACTCCGGGTCAACAAATGTACATGGTTTTGGATACAAGTAATGATGCTGCATTTGTTCCATGTGGTGGTTGTGTTGGTTGCTCTTCTAATACTTTGTTTGCCCCATCTACTTCCACTACTTTCGGGTCGGTGGACTGCTCCGTACCCGAATGTACTCAAGTCCGAGGGAGTCTCTCGTGCCCGACTACCGGGTCAGTAGTTGGATCAAGTACTGCTTGCTTCTTTAACCAATCGTATGGCGGAGATTCATCTTTCTACGCCACGTTGTCACGTGACTCCCTTGGACTAGCCAATGACGTTGTCCCGAATTATGCTTTCGGGTGCATAAGTTCCGTGTCCGGGACCTCAATTCCACCACAAGGGTTATTGGGCTTGGGCCGTGGGTCAATGTCATTGATGTCACAATCTGGATCTCTTTATTCTGGCATATTCTCATACTGTTTGCCTAGTTTTAAATCATATTATTTCTCTGGATCACTCAAGCTCGGACCCGTGGGCCAACCCAAAAATATTAAAACCACCCCACTACTAAAGAACCCGAGACGACCATCTCTGTACTACGTGAACCTGACAAGTGTAAGCGTGGGGCGAGTTCCGGTCCCGATTGCACCCGAACACCTTGCGTTTGACCCGAACACCGGTGCGGGCACGGTAATTGACTCAGGTACGGTCATAACCCGATTCGTCCAACCGGCTTACGAGGCGATTAGGGATGAATTTAGGAAACAAGTGAATGGGACATTTAGCTCATTAGGTGCATTTGATACATGTTTTGTATCACAAAATGAGGCAGTGATACCAACTATAACATTGCACTTTGAGGGAATGGACTTGAAATTGCCAATGGAGAACACATTGATACATAGTAGTGCCACTCCCTTGGCATGTTTGGCTATTGCATCAGCACCAAATAATGTAAATTCAGTGTTGAATGTGATAGCCAATTTGCAACAACAAAATCTGAGGATTATGTTTGACACGGCTAATTCGCGTGTTGGAATTGCTCACGAAGTTTGTAACTGAGTGTCCCTCGTACCCTAAATATGTAGTCACACCCGTGTCTGATACTTCAAAAAATGATGGACGACGTTGTTATTATTAAGTCTTTGCTTTCCTTTTATTTGTTGTTTGGAAGAGAAAATTTACTCTTCAATTTAGTACACTTGGTGAAAAAGTTCATCAAGTACTTTAATTTCCTTGTGTTACTATTTGGACTGAATTAATGTTGTGTTCAGTAATTTGGTGCATTTAGAAAATTATCAGTCTGTTTAATTTTGCTTAATTATATTTCCTCAAATTCAATTGTTGGGTAAATCTGTTCTAAAGCTATGAACATGTTGATAATTTTTATATTTGTAAAAGGTTATCCACACTGCCATAACTCATTCCACTTAACATATACTCTATTTAAGCGGATTTAAAATTTAAAATTTATGACCTTTCAAAAATTTTAAATTAAAAAAAATAACTTTATTATAAGTGTCTAAGGGTTATCGGACCTAGGAGGACAACAAAACTAAAGCAAATTTCATTAATGTCATTGTAATATTATATTAATTTGATTTTGTATGTTATTGCTATTAACTACTACTCCCTCCGTCCACTATTAATTGTCATACTTTCCATTTTTAGAGTCAAACTTTAAAAACTTTGACTAACATTTTAAGATATATTTAATCATCATATTGATATGTAAAAAATTGCAATGTATAGTACTTTTCGCATAGTTTTTGAATATCTAATTTTTTGGTTTCAAAGATCGAATTAATGTAATCTAATATAACTTTGAAAATAAGTCAAATTGACTTTCGAAAAGCGCAACATGACAAATAAAAGTGGATAGAGGGAGTAGTTTTTATATATTTAATGGACTTCACAATATAAATACATGCATAGTTTACACAAAAATTAACGGATTCCTGAAAATCCACATCCAATATCCTAAATTCTCCCATGGTCCATATGTCCTAAATATTTGCCATATTTTGTTTCCCTCAAGTGTTAAACTACATAAATTTTGATCAATATTTAAGATGTACGTATTGATATTTGAAAAATTGCAATATTTAGTGTTTTTCGTAAAGTTTTTTGATATCTAAATTTAAATTTTTAAATATTAAAATAATATTATCAAATTTAGCTTTGAGAAATAGTTAAATTAACTCTCGAAAAGTGAAATATGACATTTTGGGACTTCTATCTTTATACAAAGAGTGTGTGTTTGGTAACTGTATATGTTTTGAAACATTATTGATACAAGAGGGAAAAATTAATATACATATAAATAAAATTAAAAAGAAAAGGACAGAGGCAAACATATATAAGAGTAAGATTAATTCAAGAAAGTAAAAGAAAAGGAAAAGAATCACAAGAAAGTATCTTTAATAAAATCTCTTTTTATAAACCCCATATTATCATATTATTTTGCTCAAAATACATCAATAAACACTAGCAAGTGTATACACATAAAACCAATAAATTATTAAAATAAAAAACCTCAATATTCTATTATGCTCACCCCACCTATCTTTTAATTTTTTGTTTTTTTACAATTTTTGTTAATCCCACCGTTTCTTCTGAGTTGAGAATCTATCAGAAACAACTTGCATACCTCCTACTTTTTCGAGATCATAACACTAAATATATTATTGTTGTCGTAGTCATCAACCCCACCATTGGTGCACAGCAACACCTTCATCTCTCAACAATCCATACAATGATAAACATTCCCAATATGCCCTCCTATTTTTCTTATCACTTTTTTTAATTCCTTGATGTTTACATTCCAAGAAAAGTTCATCAATTAACTTAACACTTTTATTGTTCACCATTTCTTCAACCACATCAGCCTCTGCCTTCATTACCACATACTCATTTTCATTTACATTTTTTTGTAACCAATCAGACATGTTAATAGTACTCAATGGTATCTCTTTTCCACTTGATTCTTCATTCATAGTCTCAATCTTGAACATCTCAAATTTTGTGTTTCTTGTAGGATAATGCTTTGTAAACCAAGTAGAATGATAATTATCAGTTGATTTTTCATTCTTTTCTTGTAAACCAACATCAATGAACACCCTTCTTGGGTAACTCTCAAGGGAAACTCCCATTAAATCAGGTAAAAAATGTGTCTTTTTTAAATATCTACTAGATTTTCCTGATGCTGCTCTTGGTGGTTCAAGTAGTACATCTTCTAGTTTCTTTAGTGCTGCCTTTTTCGCACTTGTAAAATCATCTGACCTGACTAATTCAGATTCACGCTGAGCAGACTGACTAAGGGAAGTCAAATGTTCCTTATCAAAAACCTTTCTGTTCCCAGAGCTCGAACCAGACACCTTTTCTGTATTAGTTTCAAGAAGTCGCCGCGTAGAAGAGTTGATAGAGGCATTCTTTATTTTCTTCATGGCTACAACAGTTGAATCAAATTTTCTAACATAGACAATCTTGAAATTTGATGGATGTGGAAATTCATCAACCAAAGGATTGTCACTTAGTGGTACAACTAGAATACCACCAACTTTCAAAGCTCTTTCAATAAAATTTGATAATTGAGGATAACCATAGGCCAAAACAAAATCAAAAGTTTCATTAGGGACAAGATTTTGTTGTGTAGAATCTGAAAATGAAATCAAATCAGGATTATAATCTTTAACAACTTGAGAATTATTAATTTCTTCATCATTGCCATTGCTAACAAGAAGGGACCTATCACCCATTCTTATAAGTCTTTCATTAGCCAAATCTTGAAAAATCATAGGCAAAAACTCCAACTTAATTGGATTATAAACCATCTCATGATCAACTTGATAAGCATAATTAGACTCGTATCGCGATGATAAGTACCCAATTATCGTATTAATCCAAGGTAAAGAAACAATTACCAATGCTAATATTGTTGCACGAGCCATAAACTTCAAAACCCAAGAATGGTCTATTCTTATAATCACCAACTTTGTATCCCAATTATAATCCATTAATCCATCTATGTATAAACCTCTCATTTTGCTATGTTGCTTGTTGTAAAAACCTTGCAACATGTTATTCATCATTTTGTACCTCATGTTTGTTATGACAAGTAACACGAATCACAAAAAGGCGCATGCAAGCTAACCAGACACCAGAAAGACACAAAAGAAAGTTGAATTATTACTAATTAAAAAAAAAAGGGTTGGTGAGCTAGAATAATAGAAAAATTCCGAATACTTTTTTTTTAACGAGTGCAAAACCTGGCTGCGGTGTGGTTGCCACCCACGAGGGCTAGTCTATTTGTTTGCACTTTTGCCCACAATAACAATAAATCTTTTAACCTCTGAATTTCCATTTATTAATAATATTATTACTCTCCTTCCTTCTATAGTTTCCAGATCGATGACATTTATTTGGAATATTAACACTATTCCATGATCAAGTTTTTTAACGATACATTGGAAGAAAATCCAATAATATTTTTCGTCACCGATCGGAAAAATAAAGAAGGAAGGAGGAGGAGGAGGTATAATAACAGAGAAAAAAAGACTATTGGATTTATTTTTATTATTATTATTTTTTTGGTATTTTTTTTCTTTTATAGTTTCAAATGATATTGTTTCTAGGCTAATATAGGAAGTAATACTATTGATGATGTTTGGTTATGCGATTATTTCTCTTTAAAAGGAATGGTGAAAAAATTGGCAATTAACTTTGATGGACGTGGCTTAATTAATTTCACCATACAATCTTGATAAGAATAATTAACAAACATTTTATTTAATGTAAGAGGTGATCAAAATGATATAAATATTTTATTGGTTATAGCTCTTTAACAAATTGTAGTATGATATTTTATTATTATTATTATAAATGAGGAAGGATATTTAGTCGTGACTTATTACCAATCTTGCAAGTTGCTTGAATAATTTCATGAAGTACTTATTATCTATTATTAGTACATGTACTAAACGAGGGACGATATTTAGTCATCACGACACATCACCAACTTGCATGTTGCTTGAGTAGTTTCATGGAGTACCTGTTATTTATTATAATTAGCACATGTACTGATTCATTATGAATGTTCAATCTTTATTTTTCACCCTGCTCTTAAAAGAATTATGTTTTGAAAGAAGATTTTTTTATTTTTTTAATTAAAGTGACTATTTTGAAAAGAAATTATTATATTTAGAATTGCTATTTGAAATTGAGTTTTGATTTTTCAAATCACTTTAGTTAGATTCCATTTTCTTGTGTCTATTTCGTACCTTTTTTCCATTTTTTTCTAATCTCATAATTACTTTTTTCTTCTGAGAAGCAAATTAAAGGTGAAAAAGACTTGTATTCATGTATGTAGTTGAAATTTGAATTGTATAGTCAATAATGGAAGGAACTATCACTAGAACGGACCACACACTAATAGAAGTGATTTATACATAGTTATTTCAAATCCACACATGTATGTTGAATATAGTTGTGACAAAATTGATCGAATTTTAAATAGATCAAACATCATATAATTAATGTTTGAATTGTATACAGTCAATAATGGAAAGAGGTTGAATTAAACGTGTGAATACGAATTCAGTAGCTTTGATTCATATAATGTATTCATATTAAGAAATTAAATTTATTAAATATATTTAATATTAAATTTAAAAACAAAATATTATCGTTTAAAGTTACTATTATAAAATTTTCAATTTATAAAATTAAAATTCTGATTCCGCATCTGATAGCAGATGAAACGATTGAGACATATTCCATAGTCATGTTGTGGTGCAGGTTACTCTTTTATTATTTTGCTTTGTGACTTGCATTCTTTTACTTGGTGATCTTCCACTAACGCCTTTTAAATTTTCTAATTCACTTAGAAAAGAATTTTTATATTATCAAATTATTTAAAAAATAGATAATGTACATATAACTATGCATAAATAAAATAAAAAAGTGTAAACTGTTTGATTAAGTCTGAGTGGATAAGTTAAATCTAAAAACATATGTATATAGATTTTCAATTTAAAAGGAAGAGTAATTCTTATCTTATAAAAATTGTTTTTTAAGATATAAAGGTAAAATTCTGAATCAATTCTTAAATTAAATATTTCAAATTCGAGTATTATTGAATATGAAAAAAGTCATGTGAAGAAGCACTTTTCTCTTAATGAATCGTATGTGAAATGCCGAGTGAAATTGGAAAAAAGAAGAAGAAAATTTTGAATATTATGTACCGACAAACATCCCCCTGTTTAAATCATTCATCATATCAATCTATGACTAATCAAGACAAGGAGGAAGATTCTCACAGGGTGCTCAACTAATCATTGATGTTGAAACTTGACCTAATTGGTCAATCAAGAATTTAATTTATATATATTAATAGTATAATTTCTTCTTTTACACCATAGTGTCAATTAACCGGTGGTGGTGATGACTAACGATATGATGTTGATTATGTGTGTCGTTTGTGATGGCATTGACTGATGATGGTGGTTCTTGGTAGTATTTTATTTTATAGTGGTTGGAAGTAGTGACTAATTGTGGTTGTTGGTGGTGACGATTGATAATTAGTAGTGGAATGATGCTGATATCTAATGGTGGTGGAGAATGATGATACCAGTTAACGATATATAATATTGATTAATGGTGGTAATTATATTATCGATAGTAAATAGTGAATATAAATAATGGTCGGTGACGATGATTGCAAATAATATTTAATGGTGATGGCGATTGATTTTGGTGATTCATGATAGTGGTGGTTGTGGATAGTAGGTAGTGGTAGTTATGGTTGAAATGGTGATGGTGGGAAGCATAATATGGAATAGTGGTGAATTGTCATCTTTATATAAATTCTCAAAATAGACATTTTAATGATATTAGGCCTTGATTATAGATCTTAATCATTCTGATCCATTAAGTAATTATAAATTTTAAAAAACAAACACACTTAATGATTAAGATTAAAACAAATAGACTTAATTATTGAGATCTGAATGATTACGATTAAGACATTCATTCAGAGGGAAAACAAAGGAAAGTCCTTCACTCATCATCTATAAATTTGCCTTATCTCTCAACTTAATGAAGTACACTAGTGAATTGTTCAATTTTGCATAATGTCTAGTTTGAATATCCCAATATACCTTGTGCTTTTCTTGATCAGCCAAAGTATTAGCACAACATTAGCTCTTGATGACTATTATTACTGCCCAGACACAACTACTTATAACAATATAACAAACACCTCTTACAATTCCAACCTCAATTTGCTACTATCAAATCTTTCTTCTGCCTCTAGAGAACATCTTTTTTACAATTTCTCCATCGATGGCACCGATAATTTCGAAACAATTTACGGTCTTTTCATGTGTCGAGGTGATATGTTAAGTGTAAATTGTCAAGATTTTGTAACAAGAGCTGTTAAAGATATAATCTTGTTATGCCCCGGTAGCAAAACGGCTGTATTATGGTGGGATGATTGCATGCTACGTTACTCGAATCAATCAATATTCCCCGATCCAAACTATGGATCCACAATTAACAATCCATCTACACCTTTTGTTATATATAACACTATTCCAATTACCAATAATGAACATGAACAAAGAAGGTTCAAACAGATTCTAGGGAGAATTATGAATAACGTAACGGCACAGGCTGCCAGTGATGATCGATCGGTAGACAAGAAAATTGCAATTAGGGAAGCTAAGTTCAGTGCTAACACAACAATTTATGCCTTAGCTCAATGCATTCCTCATATGTCTTCTAAAGATTGCCTAAATTGCTTTGAAAATGCCATCGAAGTTTTAAACAGGTGTTGTGATGGTTATAGAGGTGCTAGAGTTCAATTTCCTAGTTGTTTTATGAGGCATGAAGTGTACCACTTCTACAATAATGCTAAGCCACCTGCTTTGTCCCATAATCAAGGTACATTTTACTGCTCTCTCTGTTCTATTTTATATGAATTAGTCTAATTTGACACATAGTTTAAGAAATATTTTTTTTAAAAAAAACTTGTGGGCTAAAATAAGTGATAAATGTTTGTCTAACTATAAATTATTTCGTTAAAGGTAAAATAAGACATTTTAAAGTTAAATTGTTTTAATATGAAAATGTCTCTTTATTCATTTTTTTGGGAATTGACTAAAAAGAAAAGTGAGTCATGTAAAGACATGAGGAGTAATATTTTGACCAATACAGTACTGACTTTAATTTGTTGTAGATTTGTGTCACCATTAGTTTACGATAAGTTTTTACCTTTACCCCCTCCCCACCACCCGGCCACACACACACAAATATGTAAGCATGCTATCTTTTCTTTTAATTTAATTGGATAAATGACGAAATGAAAAGTATTTTGAGTGTGTTCTTATCTTAACTCTTAAATTAAATTAAATATAATATTTATATTTGGTATAAGTCGACATTGTGCTATTATGGGTTTGTGTCCCATTGATATTGACCCAAAAAAAAAGATTTACCTAAAGAAGGTATACGTAACATTCTATTAATTAATATAATAATATTCTTCATCTATATTTCAACCATATGTCTCTTTTATATCAACAAATGAAATTCAGATGAATCCGTATTTATTATCTGACGCCCGATAATAATATGATGGTTGGAAATATCACATCCAAAATTAAATAGAAAGCATTAATAGAATGAATTCAAATTCTTGAATTGCGTAGTCGAAAACCCTTCGTCAAATATCGAAAATTATTTTTCATATGTATATACTAAATTTTAAACATCATTAACGAATTTTCTTACTTCGCCAGGGCATGACGGAAATCCAGAAAAAGAAGTACTAATTATTTGTGTAGTGGTTGCCATTGTAATTCTTTTGTTTCTACTATCAACTGGAGTCTTTCATTTGCTACTAAGGAGAAGAAGGATGAAAAGAAATAATAAAACTCTTAAGGAGATGAATGGTAATTAATTAAATCCCAATTATTTAATACAATTCAAGTCCATTGATTTCTTAATTGACTAACTT